CTTTCTTTCTTTCTTTCTTTCTTTCTTTCTTGATGACTGAGTTTCTGTTGCTTTGCATGTTGGGTGAACGTTAATTTTCCAATCCAGAGACCTGATTAATGGCTGAACCTAGATGAAATGAAGGCGTTCATATATCAAGCAAGATGCCTTGCTTAGTGTCCCTTTAGTGAGAGAACTAGAGCACTCATCAGTGCTAGAAGAGAATGGGGTTTGTCCTCTGTTCACACCCAAGTGTCATTGTTGGTGGGAGTTTTGTGGTTCCTCGATTAAGCTGTCTTATACTGTTGGGTTGTTTAGCAGTGCCTTAATCAGGGTACCTTTCATCCACCTGAGAATTGATAGAAGAAATAGGACCTTACTCTCCAACACTTCCCCTGCCCAGTTTTCTGTCAAGGCCAACCTCGCCCCTCTCTGCACCACCCCTGTCTCCTCAGCGGGTCTCTCTTCCCCCTACAGTCCACCTGTACAAGTGTGGAGCCATGAGGGACAGCTGTGGGTTGTGTCTGAAGGCGGACCCCGACTATGAGTGTGGCTGGTGTGAAGACTTAAACCAGTGTACGCTGAAGCACCATTGCCCCATCCTGGAGAACCGTTGGCTGGAACTTTTGGGGACCGGCGGCAAGTGCACCAACCCCAAGATTATGGAAGTAAGTATCTTCCCTTCCTCATGCCGAGGCTTTCTCAAGTGTGGGAATCCGGTTTGGGTCGCCACGATGTAAAAGAAAAAACGATGTTGAAACTCCAGGAGGAGCGCGGAGAAGAGCAACGAAGATGATTAAGGGAACGGAGGGCCAAACATGAGGAACGGTTGCAGGGATTTGGGTATGTCTAGTCTAATGAAAGGAAGGACGTGGGGTGACATGATAGCAGTGTTGCAATATTTGAGGGGCTGCCCCCCCAAAAAGGGAGGCAAGATATTCTCCAAAACACCTGAGAATAGGACAAGAAACAGTGGATCGAATTGAATTGAATTGAATTGAATTGAATTGAATTGAATTGAATTGAACAGAATAAGGATAGGATAGGATAGGATAGGATAGGATAGGATAGGATAGAATAGAATAGAATAGAATAGAATAGAATAAGGAAAGAATAAGGAAAGAATAAGGAAAGAATAAGGATAGAATAGAGAATAGAATAGAATAGAATAGAATAGAATAGAATTCTTTATTGGCCAAGTGTGATTAGACACACAAACAATTTGTCTTGGTGCATATGTTCTCAGTGTACATAAAAAGAAAAAATACATTTGTCAAGAATCATCAGGTACAACAATGATAGTCATAGGGTATATAATAAGCAACCAAATCATACTAGGAAACAGTCCATATAAATTGCAAGGAGACAAGCGACAAAGTTAGGGTCATACAGTCATAAGTGGGAGGAGATGGGTGAAAGGAAGGGAGGATTAATAGTAATACAGTCTTAGTAAATAGCTTGACAGTATTGAGGGAATTATTTGTTTAGCAGAGTGATGGTGTTCAGGGAAAAACTGTCCTTGTGTCTAGTTGTTCTGGTGTGCAGTGCTCTGTAGCGTCGTTTTGAGGGTAGAAGTTGAAACAGTTTAAGAACCGTTATTGACGTCTTAGAATATTATGAAGCTCATCCAGAGAAACAATTTACACTCTTGTTTCTAGATGCGGAGAAAGCATTCGATAACTTACATTGGCACTTCTTAATACAAAAAATCTATAACATGAATCTGGGCACTAAATTCGAGAATATTATCACAACAATTTACAATACCCAACAAGCCAATATACTAATTAATGGTGAACAAACAGGCCCACTAAGCATTGAAAAGGGCGTTAGACAGGGTTGCCCTCTCTCACCCCTCTTATTTATATTTGCTTTAGAATCATTGTTAACGCGGATAAGACAAAATCCTGAAATTCAAGGGGTTAGGGTCAAGGCAGAGGAATATAAATTACAGGCGTTTGCAGACGATATGGTTTTCTTCCTAGAGGACCCCATGGAGAAAGGACATAATCTAATAAAAGAACTAGAACAATATGGTTCAGTAGCAGGACTAAAGATCAACAGAAATAAGACGAAATTACTGACTAAAAATCTAACAGAGAACCAGAGGAAAGAATTAGAAAAAACCATGGGGATACAGGCAACAAAAAAGGTCAAATATTTAGGCATATGGTTAACACCACATAGTAAATCACTCAAAGAGAATAATTATGATAAACTGTTACAGCAAATTAAGAAAGATCTGAATCCTGGAATAAGTTGCAGCTTTCTTTACTGGGCAGGATTGCCACAATCAAAATGAACATTTTACCAAAACTCCTTTACTTATTCCAGACAATCCCAATAAAATTACCAAAATTTTTTTTTGATGATATAAATAAGGTAACTCTTAAATTTATTTGGCAAGGGAAAAAAGCTAGAATCAGTATTAAGGCCTTACAAGATGCAAAAAGTAGAGGTGGGCTAGCGCTTCCAAACTGGGAATTATATTATTGGGCAGCCAACTTACTATGGTTAAAAGACTGGGTCAATTTACGGAATAAAAGAACTCTAGCCTTGGAAGGGCACGACCTTCAGAGAGGATGGCACGCATTTCTATGGGATGTGGGGAAAACTAAACAGGCGTACTTTCATAGACATCTTATTAGAGATTCACTATTAACTAATTGGAAAAAAATATGTAAAAAACATTATTTAAAAATTCCGATTTGGCTTTCAACAATGGAGGCAATGGTTCATCCCAACAATTTGGATATAACAAAAATGACTAAATATAAAGATTTATTAGATCCTTTAGGGAAACTAAGAACTCGACAGGATTTACAGGAACAGGGATTTAAAATCGATCAGTGGTTATATATACAAATCCATAGTAGATACAAACAAGATATCAAAGAGTTTGGAATTTATAGCAAATTACAACACTTAGATAAAATCTTATTAGGATCAAATAAAAAGAATATTTCTAAATTTTATAAATATTTATTGGAGGTAGAATTAGAGCAAGAGATAGTGAAAGGGAACATGATAATGTGGAGTAGGAATATTGGAAGAAGCATTACATTAACAGAATGGGAAAAGATCTGGAATAGAATCATTAAGATTACGAAATCTGCGGCGTACAAAGAAAATATGTATAAAATGTAAATATTTTCATAACATTCTTTTTGACTTGTGCAGGATACAGGTCCTCCATGGAAGGCAGGTTGGTAGCCATTGTTTTTTCTGCAGTCCTAATTATCCTCCGAAGTCTGTGTCTGTCCTGTTGGGTTGCAGAACCAAACCAGACAGTTCTTAGAGGTGCAGATGACCGGCTCAATAGTTCCTCTGTAGAACTGGATCAGCAGCTTCCTGGGCAGTTTGAGCTTTCTGAGTTGGTGCAGGAAGAACATTTTTTGTTGTGCTTTTTTGATGACATTTTTGATGTTAGGTGTCCATATTAGGTCTTGTGATATGATAGAACCTAGAAATTTGAAGGTCTCTACTGTTGATATGGTGTTGTCTAGTATTGTAAGAGGTGGTAGTATGGGAGGGTTTCTCCTAAAGTCTACCACCATTTCTATGGTTTTGAGTGTGTTTAGTTCCGGATTGTTCTGGTCACACCGTGAGGCAAGTTGTACAACCTCCGGTCTGTATGCGGATTCATTGTTGTCTCGAATGATGGATGGAAACTGATCAAGGAGAGAAGCAACCTAGAATTAAGGAGAAATTTCCTGACAGTGAGAATAATTAACCAGTGGAACAACTTGCCCTCCAGAAGTTGTAAATACTCCAATGCTGGAAGTTTTTAAGAAGAGATTGGACCACCTTTTGTCTGAAGTGGTGTAGGGTTTCCTGCCTAAGCGGGAGGTTGGACTAGAAGACCTCTAAGGTCCTTTCTAACTCTATTATTCTATATCTATATCTATTGCAATGGGTCACTTTGTAGCAAGCAGGGGCGAGGCCATCCACTTCTGCAGAATGAAAGCCGATCACAGGTCATCCTCGAATTACGACCACAAAAACTGAGCCCAAATTTTCCATTGCAAAACCAGGCTACATGGATTTTGCCCCTTTTATATCCTTTCTTGCCACCGTTGTTAAAGCGAATCGCTGTGGCTGTTAAGTTAGTAGCAACAGCTGTTAAGTGAATCCATCTCCCCCACGGACTTTTTCTGGTCAAACGGTCACAAAAGGGGATCCCATGATATGAACTGGTCGCCGAGGGTTTGAATTTTGATCCCGTGACCGTGGGGATGCTACAACGGTCGTAGGTCTCTTTTTTCTTGCTGTTGTAACTTCAAAAGACTGCTAAATGTACCGTTGTAAGTCCATTGTAGGGGGTTTTTTTTGTGTGGCAAAAGTGTCACATTACTATGAAAATTTATTTAATTTTTATTTGATTCGACATTCATTCATTTGATTCTTTTTTTTTATTAGTTTGAGTGATTTACGTGATGTTTTATCCTGTAAGCCACCTTGAGTCGCCATGGGCGAATAGGCGGCAGTATAAATTCCATAAATAATAAGAAAAACGCTCACAAGTCCCCCTTTTCAGTGCCGTGGTTACTTTGAACGATTACTAAGTGAGCACTTGTAAGTCAAGTGTCAACTCATAAAAAATTCCTATGCCTGTTTTAGTAGTTGCCATAAAAAAAAAAAGTTGAGGAGGAAGGAAATCTGGAAGAACAGTGTACCGTTTGAAAGCAAAAGTAGATTCCAACTCTTATCTTTAAAAGATTGTAGCTAAACTACCAGAGCTTTTGCTCGCCAATATATTTAGCTGGAGAACATGATTGATGACACTCAGCCCATGAACATGATTAATTGGAGATTCTGGTTTATGAGACACCTGGGGGGGGGGAGGAGGGGGAAACAGGATCACAGATATTCAGAGTTTTGTAGCATTAATTCAGCGCCAGAACACTATACACAGATATCTGTTGCTTCATTTAACGTCTTTATAAACCTTATGAGTAAATTTCACCAACCAACTGTAGATTTCTCCAACATGGAGCAAACTCAGACAGAAATAAAACATGTTGCTAGAAGTTCAGCAGAGTTCCAGCCTTCAGCAAGCAAGCAAGTTAGTTTCTCTTTTACTTTAGTTCAGCAGGCAAGCGAGAAGAGAGAAGCAATTTCATTTCCCATAGACAGACTCAGAGCTCATTATAGCTGCAGAGTCGCAGAGCTTAATATAGAGCCACGCCTGGGCTGCTTTTAGTTTCAGTTTCCAAACTGTCCTCATTGGCTAATCTAGTTGCTATGCCTATTTGTTGGCTGACCTTGTTACCAAGCTCTGTTCCAGTTCATGAATAAACTCTGACAACAGGTGAGGTATAAATGACGCATGCCAGAGTTGGCTTCCTACAGGGCAGTGCCAGTATGTCGCCTCAATGAAATCCTTTCAAGTTTTTTGAAGTTTGGCTCGAGAATCGTGATTTAATTTGGAAGATTGCTGGAATCCCGGAATCCTGAGGACTATCTGTATATATCTTTTTTTTTTTTTAAATGCATCCTCAAAAGTTTCTGCTGACTTGTGGGGGGTACCCCCAGAGAGATTTCGTGGAAAGAATAAAACTGCCCCCCCACTTTCCATTTTGGATTGTGGGTTTATTTTATTTGATTTTCAACTTCCAGATCTCATGAAGAACCAGTGGCCTCTTCCCCAGAGTCTGATCTAGGCTTA